GGAGAAGGAAATATTAATGGAGGGGTAATCTTGTTCAAGGTATACTGTATACATATACAGAATCATCACAATGAAATCCCCTAGTACTAGTAACGTATTATAATTCACAACTAAAATAGGTATCACAAAAAAAGGAACCACTAAAAGACATTTTTTAATTCATTGGTACACCAGAATATGCCTCACATAGGAGGCAAGCACTCTAGCACTGGCCTGCATGACCTCACCATTGTTTTTGCTGTGACAGGGTTTGAATTGTAGTGTCTCACAGTTGCCAGGCGGGTGCTCTACCACTTGAACCACTCTGAAAGCCATTTTTGTGCTAGGAATTCTCAATAGGGTCTCACAAACTATTTTACCTGGGGCTGACTTTGATCTGCAATCCTCCTGATCTCTGCTTCCTGAGTAGCTAGGATTATAGGCGTGAGGCACTGGTGCCTGACTCTTGGCTTGCTTTGAACCTCGATCCTCCTGATCTCTGCCTAAGATTATCATTGTTGTTTTAAGAAACACCAAAAGCCAATGTTAGAGCATGCCTATAATCCCGAACACTCAAAGGCAGAGGCAGAAAGATCAAGAGTTCTATGCCAGCCTAGGATACACAGCAAAATCCTGTCTCAAATAACAAAAAGGAAAAAAAACACTATGTACATCTGCTGTGTGAAAGACTTTTAACATTCTAAATGTACCATGGCAAACTCCAGGGCTGGTGGAGTGGCCCAAGAGGGACATAGTGCCTGCCAAGCAAGCATGAGGCCCTGAGTTCAAACCCCACTACCAACCCCTCAAAAAACAAAAGAACTGGCCATCAGCTCATTTCTACATTAAGAACGCAAACATAAAAGGTGGGCCTAGTGGTGTACAGAGGCAGAGGTAGGAGGATGGTGAAGGTGGCCAGGCAAAAGCACAGTAAAGTAAAAGCAAAGGACTGGGGTGTGGGCTTGAAGCCCTGAATTCAATCCCACTACTGCAAGCATGAACAAGTTGTATACCAATAAGTAATAAAAGCAAGCCATGGGGACTGTTAGCAACTCACTGCACATGACTTCCATGCACAAGGTCCTTTGTCAGCCAGACTTCTCAACTTGTCTATACTGCACATAACACCTCTTCACCATACTGCTCAACTGTCTTTCCACTAAGGGGAAGCAGAGCCTTACTGTACGTCTTAACACTATCCCTTGGGTTTCATTTTCTTCTCAAAGCCCTATTAAACAATAAAATCTTAAACTAGCACCTTGTTTAGTAAACACTCAGTGTAACTCATCTTCCCTTCAACACATCTTTTCCCAATCATACATCAAATTTACTAATCCCAGGCCTACAACTGAAAAGGGATATGCATGTTGAAGCTAAGGGGACCTGTGGCTGGAAAGTAATTACTAATTAAAGCCTGTGAACTGTCTACAGGTTTCTCCCCCATCTTCACCTCCCAAAAGCAAGCATATCTGAAGGCAGGCATTGGATTACTATCCAGTAAACCCACTGGATTACTATTCCCAGTAACAAACACTGCCATGACTTTTCTACTTCTGATGGGTCATCTAGGGAACTAATCTTAGAAATTACAAACATATGAGGTTGATGATGTAGCCCAGTGATAAGAGTTCTTGCCTCACATGTATAACCCCCTGGGTTCCCAGTGCTAGGATCCCCAGCAGTGAAAAACCAAAAAACAATTCCAGACAAATACATTTGATACTTAACACCAGTAACAAAGAGACGTGATGTTTTTCAAAACTTTATTTCAACTATGCTTACAGAAATACACTCATATTGGTTAATAAAATGCAATTTAAGTTTAACTTATCCTACACAATTTGACCAAAAACTTGGTACATGGTTTGCAATTTTTTTAAAAAAATTGCCATCTGGTTTATTTTTTATCTACTACAAATGTATAAAAGATCCTCTGTCAAATGCTGCTAAAGAAGGCAGCATGAAACCTTGAGAAATATACCTTTGGTTTGCCTCAGAATAATAACACGTATTGCACTGTAAAAGTTTATAAAATTGGTGCAACAAAACATTGTTGTAATGTTACAATGCCAGCTTACAAAGTTCAGTAACTAACAGATGTGGAAGGGGGTAGGAGGGAGCCTATATACACAGATGGAACTGTAAAAGCTATCTGATTTAGTTAATATTGCAGGTAGATTGTAAATCTACAAACCAAGATTCAGATAATTTCTTAAATCTGAATTAATACTAACAGCTCACTTCATCTGCTGAGGTGAGCAAGGAAACTACACAATAGCTTTAGGTTTTTCTGATTTATGCAATGAAGAAAATTAAGTTTCTTTCCCAGCTTTTCAGTCCAGAAGTAATAGCATACTACAGGCAAGTGTTCTTTCATTGTCAACGTTCAGTGCGGTGACATGTGATGAGGTCAACTTGGGTTTTATTTTCTATCAGCACACATATGCAAGACAGCCCCCAAAGCTAATGACCAGATGCCTTTACAAGTGACTCTAAAAATATAAAAATGGCCCTTGGAAGACTAGAAGCAAAACATCCAGCCATAGTCATAAAAAGCCTGATCAAACAAAGCAGCCCCTTTATGAATTACACCTCAATTAAAAAACAAAAAAGTAGCCCCAAAATAAGCAGCTCTCCGGGAAAAAAAAAACCAAAAAACATAACTTAAAACATCTTGAAAAACAATGTGAATACAGGTTCAAAAAATAATTAAGAGATCTATTTTACTAAGACTATACCTAGTATTAGGTTTATATATTCTAGCATTCCAAGTTTATCACTAGTTATTATACATCAATTTACAAATAACGTGTTCTTTTGTTTATCAAATGGGAAAATTCTAACTTCAATTCTAGGGGTTTGGGAAGACTAACAAATAAGATTCATGCAAATACATTTTTCAAATGGAGGAACTCCCAACTAGACCAGAAGTTCTGATTACTAATACATTTTTCATTGAAACCATTTTTACTGAGTACAAATACATGGCATTAAGGTTCAGGACCTAATATAGGCCTGACAATCAAGTCCTTTTTTTCTGGAAGAAAGGCCTCAAGTCCCAATTAATTTCCAGTAACAACGTTTTTATAGCTCAACTTAATAATCAATGGGCTTTAACTTCCTTCATATTTTTTTTTTTTTTTAGTTTTCTAGTCTTAAGGATTAAAAATTAGTTCAATTCCCCAAAAGGCAATTTTTTCCTTTGCAGTATGAAAGAATCCAAAGACTTCTTCCCCAAACAGTCCCAATCTCTAATTCGTGTTTAACAATGAATCTTTTTCAATATAATATAAAAAGTAACAGTAAAATGTGCTCATGAACATTAAAACTAGTTATTAGAAAGACTTTAACTAGCTTTATAATTTAAATTTTAAAACATAAATATTTGCAGCCTGATCTTCTGCTGACAATGATTGTCTAAGCCTAGAAGTCAACATTTATAAATTCTCAGTCATGCACACAAAACACACTCTATTACCACACACAACTACTCATGTCTTGAGAGAATATCCTGCTCCTTTAAATCTTTGGCCTCCCAGTCAATTCCAAGTTCGAACAACTTTTAACTTAAACTTCACTCTCAGATTTTTCCAAGTTTTCCACCCATACACTAATGCTTGTCCTTAATCTTTCATTTTGTATCATCAAAATCTGAAATCTGCCTCAAAGAGATCACCAGGTAAAAGAAAATAAATAAGCTGGAGATGTGGCTCACGGGTGGAGTGCTTGCCTAGCATGTGCAAGGCCCTGAGTTTGATGCCCAACAGTGGAGAGAAAACTGTACAGGTATGTGTGGTGGTGCATACTTGTAATCCCAGCACTTGGGAGGCTGAAGCAGGAGGATCTCAAGCTCAACACCAGCCTGGTCTACATAGCAAGACCCTGCATCAAACAACCAAAAGGGGGGGGAAGAAAAAAAGAAAAGGAGAAAGGAAATAAATCAAATAAAAAGCTTATTTCAAAGTAGACATAGGAGGTCAGAATTCAAGATCCTAACAGTAAGAAAAATCCTATGTTGGATTCTTTCATACTCTTTAGCAAATGGCCAAAGAACCTACAAGACAGTTTTGGAGTCCATGCCTTTTTTTCATACAAACTGCCCCCATGGGAACACCAGGATAGCTGCAATTCACTTGAGGCCTCAGCTGTAGAAAGACTGTAACAAGGACAGCCAGGACATCCACTAGTTTGTGGAGATCCCTGAAAATGGATGATTTCTAAATCTAGACTGTACTGACCATCTGCCTTTCTCACATACTGACAGGAAGTTGTACTATTTGCCAGAACTCAAGACCACCTCCCAGTCTAGATTTCCCGTATAATAGCTATGGCTTTGGAATTTCACAAGTGATACTCTGTAAAACCTGAAGGAATAATTACTTCACCTACTTCCAGCTTTGCAGTTTGCAAATACCACTTAAGGTTCTTTATTCATTTGAGTAGCATATAGGCACCATCTGTGAGAAAAGCTTTTCCTCAAAGATATGATTCAACACTCTACAATTAAGAAAATAGCTGTACCAGAACAGATCACAAAAGGTGGGATGGGGGAAGTCCTAAATGGTTGAAATTTGTTCAAATATGGAGCCTAGTGGTTTCTTTTTATAATATCAAAATGGAAAACTGTGAAATTACTATATCCATTTAAAATAAATAACTTCTATGAAACACAGATTCTGGCATAGATATAAGATGTGAAAATCAAAATCAATCAGTTGAACCTGCAGTTTCATTTGCTCACAAACTTGCACACACTATTATTCTGCAAAAAAGACAATTGCAGCAAAGAAAAAAGAAAACTGCCCTTTTGCAAACAAGACTAAAAAGCATCCCTCCAAAGAGGCAAAAATAAACATGCATATATAAAGTGTTACTGTTCAACACAAATGCTATTTCTAGAAAAAGACTTAACTGCATAGGTTAAAAATAAACAATGTGCAACATCTTAAGCCATTAAAGCACCCAAAAAAAAAAAAAAAATCACCAAAATCACTGTTTTTATGACGATTAACATACAAACACAAAATATGGATCAAAATCAGGAAGTATACGGGACTGATACAATGTCCACTGTTGGAAGAATTTTTTTTCATCTCTAAAGAAATCTTAAAGTGCTAACTTTATATAAAGCAGGCAAATCCTTCAAGTAATTTGCTATTAAGCCAATTTTTATAGAGCTAAACAAGGAACTAAAACTAAAGTGAAAAAGAAGACAGAAAGAAAACCTGACCAGTTGTAGTCACACAAAGCAAAAGAATACTATATACCATGCTGGCCTTCTCATGTCAACTGACTGCATATGCTAACAGATTTAGATATCTGCTGGTTTCATTACATTTACTCACCTGGATTTGCTAAAATCAATAGACAGACATAAAGTCCTAAGGAAAACAATGTCACTTAAAAAATCAACATTGGACACTAATTAAAGCAATCTTAAAAGTTTGTCTAATACCATAAATGAATAAAAAATGTAATAGCTCTTACTAAGAACTGCAGCCTTGTCCAAAGTTTAATTACTCCTGCCCTTTAGCTGCTTTTTCAAGAAAGTACACGTTAACCAAATGGCGATTGAGGTGTTTGCTGTAATCTTTTTCCTTTCTAAAAGAACGATCACAAAAGATACAAACAAAATCTCCCTCAGTCACTTTGACTGCCAAGGCTTCCTTTGCATTTTTTGCACTAGTTTCTTGTGGAACTGGCCGAGCTCCATGCAATCCAGAATCATCACTGCCCTCTGACATGTTGTCACTTAGGTCACTTCCATCATGACTGTGGATGCCTTCATCTTCATCAATTTCCTGAGACTCATTTACTGCCACAGTAACAGGAGGTGAAGCCAGAACAGTTTTAGACCCTGCTTCACGTTCGTCTATGGGTGAAGGAAGAAGCAATGGTGAAACTGGTTGTTCCCCTGCTGAGTCTTTACCAGGGACATTCTCTGTTGTGTTCTGCTCAGTGCCCATTTCCATTTCACAAATCATAGCTGGATCAGTCTGATGTTTCTTATCTGAAGTCTCACCCTCTAGCATATTCAAGTTTTGTTCACAGGATGAAACACTGGTAGACTCCTTGGAAGCAGCAAGATCAGCTAGACTCTTATCTGCCTCTTCTCCTCCTCCTCCTTTCTGAAGAAGGGTTTCTTTATTTTCTTCACCTTCAGAGAAGCCTTTTTGGTCTTTTGACTCCTCTTCTCTTAAGTCTTCCTTTGGCAGTGGTGGTGATGTTAAGAGATCCTGGGTGCTTGTACTTTCCTTTAGAAGCTGGCTATCCTTAACGGGCACTAAACCGACTTCAATAAGGACTTGCTCCTGATGTGCTGTTTCACACTGAATGTTGGACTTTCCCTTTTTATTGTCTTTTCGGGGAGATGACCTTTTGGGAACTGGCTCAATGTGAATTTGAAGAGAGGGCTCCATCTGAGCAGACTCCCTCTGAGCAGCCTCCATCTGACTTGATGACACAGGAACAGGCCCCATCTGACCAACCTCCATCTGACTGGACTCCATGGGAGTAGGTCCCATCTGAGCCACCTCCATCTGATCGGGCTCCATGGGAGGAGGCTGCTCTACCTGAGCAGGCCCCTTCTGGACAACCTCCATGTGGGCAGGATCCTTAAGGTCCATTTTAACAGGCCCCAGCTGAGCAGGCTCTGCATGAGGAGCCTCTATCGGAGCAGGCACTTTGGGAGCAGTCTCCTGAACTGGCTCCTTCAGGGCAGGCTTGCTGCTTTTTTTACTTGATTTATTTTTCAGAGTTTTCTTCTTTGTGCTATTTTTCGTGCAGGTATTTTGCTTTTTATTTTCCTCCTTATTTTCCTGCATTTTGCTGTCATCCTTTGGCATTTCCTGACTATTTTTGGATTTGCTTTCTACTTTCTTTTTCTTTTTTGTCACAGGTTCCTCCTCATTCACAGGATCATGCAAGGAATGGGCTTCAGCTTCCACCTTCCTTTTGCTTTTCTTGGTTTTACAGAATTTTTCTGAATTATTTCCTGTATGCACATCCATCTCTTTAGTCTCTGTGGCTGCCTTGCGAGTTCTGGTAGTTACTTGGTTCACTGAGACACTGCTACAAGGTTTTTTCTCTCTTGAAACATCTTTTTTCTCCACTTTTACAGACTTCTCATTTTTTTTTCCAGTCACATCCCCCTTTATTTTTGTCTGCTCTGACTCTGATTTTTCATTGTTGATATTGTTATCAGGCAAGTCAGCCTCTCTCTTTTTGGTTTTCTTTAGTTTTACTTTAGACACATCCATTGTTTTGTTAGGGCAAGTAGGATGCTTAGATTTGAAATGATATTGAAGATTACACTTTTTAGAAGCCGCATAGTCACACACAGGGCAATTGAACTGCCGTGGGTTAACATGTAGCTCTACATGCTTTTTGAAGTTGCTTCTATCTGCCGTTTTGTAATCACAGTGAGGGCAGTTAAGAGGTTTAGGCCCATTGTGAACCTGTCTTGCATGGCGGGTTACTTCATGTTGATTAGAGGCCACATAACTGCACTGATCACATTTAAATGGCTTCTCACCTGAAGGTAAACAAGAGGTGTTAGAAGACATAGATTAAGACGTTAAATCCAAGATCAAAATATACTTAAGGAATAGTATAATAAGATAACCACAAACACAATTTATCAGAAAGGCTGTATCATGCATGTTACATTTACCATATTTATTTATATAACTTTTCTATATCACTATCACCTGACATTAACTCTCAAGCCAAGTGAAGGAATAATTCTCTCATCTTCAGAAAGTTCAAGCTACAGCTCTTAAGCACTACTTAAAGAACAGACATAACGACAGAATTATTAGCACAGTCCAGCTGGACACCAGATGTTAATTTTGAGGGGAAGGAAACTCAGAAAAAATAATTTAAAAATTTTTTATGTTCAGATAAAACAAATGTACAATGGCGAAAATATAAAATTCCCATACATTTTTAGGTAAATCTGGAGAAAAATGTTTTTTCACTCTTCCCTACATACAAAAATTTAGAAACTCTAAGAGACAGCAAAAGGAACGAAAGGTTTTTTTCTTGAAATTTAACCCTTTTATCTGTCATGACAAGAAGAGAGTGAAGTTTCAACTCAGCCAACTTTTCCAAAGCCAGAACTGCTGTTTTAAAAGCAAAAATATACCTATGGTAATTATTCAAATAACTGTGCTAATTTCTCACCTTTTCCTGTAAAAATAAGCCAAGAAAACTATGTAAATGAGAAATATAAATAGATATGGTATGTAACATAAACAGTCATAATCAGATACATACAAAACCAGAACCACCCCACCCCCAAATTTAAAAACACAGTAACACATTCTACCTGAATACATACCCATCTAGATCACACTCTAGAAAATATTACCAAATGGTATCCACACCCCACTGGTCCAATGGAATGCATAGTAGAGAAATGGAAATTGACATTTATGAAAATTCATCTCTCAAACATTCTCAAATTCATATCAAAGCAAAATTCAGACATAAAGCAAACCCATGTAGATGTTAAGCTTTACACAATTAGAAAATATGTGGTGATAAAACTCCTAAGTCACAAAAACAAAAACCTATCCAGGTTATATCAGGTTAGATATGCAGCTAACTGGGTCACACTTTTCCATGTTAGAAATAGGATGGCTTCAGCAGGGTTTGATGGAACACACAGGAGGATCACCTAGTTCAAGACCAGCCTCAACAACTTGGCAAGATCCTGTCTCAAAATACAAACTATTAAAACAGGCTGGGGATGTAGTTCAGTAGTAGAGTGCTTGACTAGCATGCATGAGGCCCTTCGTTCAATCCCAAGTACTGCCAAAAAAGAAAGAGGGTGGTTTCTACAACATGCTACATTACTCTGTACTCAACTCTACAGCAACCTCTTCAATAAATGATCTAAATGGAGACAAACATTTCCTTAACATCTATAAACAAAGAATAAAAAAAGACAGGTGGTATAGTAGCTAAAAACTTTTCTGTAGTTAGATGTCTGGAAGATAAAATGTGAATTCTACAATTTGTTTACTGTGAGACCTTGAGGAAGGCACTGGAACCGCTCTACGGCTCAATTTCTTCACCTACAAAATACTCCCAAAGTGTTGTGAGCTATCATTAACCTGAACCATGTACAGTAGTTAACACAGAGCAGAGAACAAGCATTCAAATACATGACCTATAACTGTCACATCTGGAACTGGGACCTCTGAGTATGCGTGAATAAAAAGGAAGACTCAAGGATTTACTCTGCCATTCTCATGTAAACTCTACCTCAGAGCAAACAAATAGCTGGCACGTGGAGTTGATCTCTTTATGAAAATACTTGTGTTAATAAAAGTGTAATTAAGGTCTTGCAGAGTTGCTCAAGCAGTACAGTACCTGCCTAACAAGTGTGAAGCCCTGAGTTCAAACCCCAGTACCACAGCAAAGAATGTGTAATTAAAACATCACCATCTAATTACTTTTGTTCAATGAGGGGATATACATAGCAAGCATTAAACAAGGTAAAAGCCTCTACACCTAAGAAATGGTCAAAGAATTCTTTAAAATCTGATGACATAATTTACTTGAACCACTAAACTTTTGTCCCCCAATTTTTGCTTTGTTGACCTTAACCACTGGTTATGTTTGAATATGTATTTTTCAGAATTTTCTAATTTATTAGTACCTAACAGAATATAAAATGTTGCCCTTCTATCAAGGGCCACCTTCCTTTTCCTAACCAATTAATTATTTACCTATGTTTCTCATTTTTGGGAGGGGGGAGTGGGTGTACAGTACTGAGGTTTGAACTCAGGGCCTCACACCTACAAGTTTTAACAATATTCTAGCTAGAGTGGCTCAAGTGGTAGAGGGCAAACACCAGTTTAAGGAGAAAAAATATATATATTATTTTAGTCTATGGCTGTTATCACCCTGAATGCACTGCAATCTCATCTGATCCCTCAGGGGTTAAGCAGGTTCAGGCTAGGTCAGTACTTGGATGGGAAACCACCTGGAAATACCAGGTACTTACTGTATACTTTAAGACAGGCATGGTGCCCCAATGGCTCACACCTGTAATCCTAGCCAGAGAGATAGGAGGATGAAGGTTGGCAACCAGCCTGGGCAAATACCCATCACAAAAAAGGGCTGGTGGAGTGACTGAAGGTGTAGGCCCTGAGTTCAACCCCAGTACTGTCAAAAGAAAAAAAACAAGGGGGGGTGGGGGGAGGCAGAAAAAAAGCTAAATGACACTATGAGAAAAAAAGTACATGTATCCTAAAGGGGCAAAAATGGCCTGATTTTTCCAATACCTACAATTTATACAACAAAGGATAATTCTGAGGACTAAAATGAGTTAACCTATGTAAGGCTTTATGGCTTAGGAAATTCAGAACAAACCAGAGTACATTAACAAGGTAAGTATTTAGCATGTCAAGAAAGACTATCAGTCTAGCACCAGCAGTGCACACTATTATCCCAAGCTACACAGGAAACTGACATTGGAAGGATCAAAGTTCCAGGCCCACCTGGGGGGGAAATGTGAGACTTTTTCCCCACCTCAAAGGGGAAAAAAAGCTGTTGTCTTTTTATCCCAGCCACAGGAGGAAGCTTAAACTACAAAAATCCAGCCGAGCACAGTGGCACACACCTACCTACTTGGGAGGCTGAAGTTGGGAGGATCACAGTTCGAGGCCACCCCAGGCATACAACGAGGCATATCGTTCACTAGACCCCATCTCCAAAATAACCAAAGCAAAATGAACTGGCAGTATGGCTCAAGCGGCAGAGCACCTGCTTTGCCAAGCACAAAGGCCTGAATTCAAACCCTAGTCTCACCAAAACATGAAACAAAAAAAAAAAGATCCATGGCAACCTGTCCAAAAAGCAAGACCCTATATCCAAAATAACCAGAGCAAAAGGTGGAAACATGGCTCAATCAGTGAGTGCCTGCCTTGCAAGAGCAAAGCCTTAATTTCAATGGCCAGTAATTATTATTGTAAAAAAGGTGCTAAAGGTATAGCTCAGGAGTAGTGCAAAGGCTAAATACTGCCAACACAAATGCACAGTAAAAATACTATGGTATACCTTCACAGTCACTCAAATCAGAATCTACAATATAATTAAGTCTTACCGTTTGTTATTAACTTATGAAGCAACGTGCAACAGAAATATAACGTAAATCAGTTATATAATTTTAAATTTCCAAGTAGTCACATTATAAAGATTAAAAAAAACAGTATATCTAACTGTATTGCTTAGTACATTGGGATTAAGCCTAACTCAATGTATCCAGTAATTTCAACATATAGTTGAGGTACTAGGGGAGGGCTGAAACAGGGTTTCACTATGTAGGCCAGGTGGGCCTGAAACTCTTATTTCTCCTGCCACAGGCTCCTTTAGGATTACAAGCATGCACCACCACACCCAGCCTGAGTCACTTTTTTTTTTTTTTTTTTTAGTACTGGGGTTTGAACTCTACCACTTGAGTCACTCCACCAACCTGCTCTGGTTATTTTGGAGGGGGTCTCTTGAACTGTATTTGCTCTAGCTGACCTTGAACTGTGATCCTCCCGATCACAGCAGAGTAGCTAGGATTACAAACCTCAGTGAGCTACCAGTGCCCAGTTTTAGTCACTATTTTTTTTAATTAATTAATTTTTTTTATTCGCATGTGCATACAATGTTTGGGTCATTTCTCCCCCCTCCCCCGCCCCCTCCCTCTACCCCCCACCCCCTCGCTATCCAACAGAAACTATTTTTCCTTTATCTCTAATTTTGTTGAAGAGAGAGTATAAGCAATAATAGGAAGGACCAAGGGTTTTTGCTAGTTGAGATAAGAATAGCTATACAGGGAGTTGACTCACACTGATTTCCTATTTTGCATTCTTTTCTTCATACTGTTTGAAATCCAGCATGCATTTATTAAGTCTCAATTCAAATGAGCCATACTTCACAAGCTCAATAACCTGTGTGGCTAGTGACTACTAAACTGTACTGCACAGATCTAAGATATTTATTAACTTAATTAAGAGAGGTGGGTCCACACAGACTTTCTCAAGTTGGTCAGTTTGAGGCCAAGTGCTGGCAAATAGTTCACAAGACCCCATTTAAAAATTAATCAGAGCAAGCCAGTTTTTTTGGGAGGCTGAGATCAGAGGATCGTGGTTCAAGACCAGTCGAGGCAAATAATTCTTAAGACCACCCACTTCTAAAATAACCAGAGCAAAATGGAGTGGAAGTGTGGCTCAAGCAGTAGAGTAGGCTCAAAGCCAAGTTTAAACCCCAGTCCCACCAAAAATTTTTAAAAACTACTCAGGAAGTATAGATAGGGATCCAGATTTGACCCCAACCCAGACAAAAAGTATGCAAGACTCCCATCTCAACCAATGAAAAGCTAAGCATGGTGGTATGCACCTGTCATTCCAGCTTCCACAAGAAGCATAAAAAAGAATGCAGTCCAGTCTGACCCAGGTATAAAACGAGACCCTATCTCAAAAATAACCAAAGGAGCCGGGTGCCAGTGGCTCATGCCTGTAATCCTAGCTACAGAGGAGGCAGAGATCAGGAGGATCTTGGTTCAAAATCAGTCCCAGCAAGTAAGTTTGAGAGACCCCCATCTCAAAAATACCACACAAAAAGGGCTGATAGAGTGGCTCAAAGTGTAGGCCCTGAGTTCAAGTCCTGGTACCGCAAAAAAAAACAAAAAAAAGGAGAAAAGAAAATAAAGAATGCAGAAATGGCAGACAGCATGCCTCAAGTGGTAGTAGAGTGTCCCTGACTAGCAAGCATAAGGCCTTGAGTTCAAGTTCCAGTATGACAAAATTAATTAAAGTAAGATAAAATATTAAATAAATAAGTAAAAACCAGAGCTGGGGGGCATGGCTGAAGTAACAGAGCACCTGCCTAGCAAGCTCAAGGCCCTGAGTCCAAATTCGTACCCTCCTCAAAAAAAAAAAAAAAAAAAAAAAAAAACCCCAAACCAAAGGGTGGGGGAGATGACTCAAGTGGAAGGGTAATCTGCCTAGAATGTACAAGGCCCACAGTTCAACCACAGCACCACAACAATAATCAAATCTGGAAGGAGAGTATTCTGATCAGAAATGGCAGTTTACCAAGGGTCAAAGCCAAAATCAAAGAATTACCTATTCAGGGGAGGTATTTTCTTTGAGGGTGTGGGCCAGGGAACATGAAACAGGGTCTTGCTATATTGGTTCAGGCTGACCTGGAACTCACTATATAGCCTCAAATGCTCAACCCTCTGGCCTCAGTCTCCTAAGTGCTAGGATTATAGTCATGTGCCTCAATGACCAATGACAACTCCCACTGAAATATGTCCACATTAGCTGGGGCATGGCTCAAATGGTAGAGTGCTTGCCTAATAAGCACAAGACTCTTGAGTTCAAACCCCAGTACCACCAAAATAAATTAAGTCCCACATTAATGAATACTGATTTTTCACTACAACTTCTAAATTACATTGAAAATAACCCATAAACAAATGACTCCTAAGTTCTTAGGCTGGGGATGAAGTTCCAGGGTAGAACATGTGCTAGGATGTACAAAACCATGACAATCCCCAGCAACTCCCAAGAAAAATTTATAATAGTTTACAATAAAAAGAGAATAAACAAAAATTAACTTTCCCACCCAAAAGGGGGAAAAAAGGACATAAAACAAAAACTAAAAGTTCCCATTTTTTACCAACCTGAGTGAGTACGCATATGTCTAGTTAGATGAGTTTTCTGAGAACTTGAGTATGGACAAAGTTCACATTTATATGGGCGTTCTCCTGCAAAAATAATGAAAAATGTTTAAAGATAACAAAATACCAAATACAAATCTCACTAACAATATAACAACACTCAGTACTAAGCACTTTTTAAACACCGCCCCTCCATTCCTGGCAGAATCAATCGCTCAATCTATCATATAGTTGAAATGTAAATAATTAGTCAGGTGTGGTATACTGCTGTAATCCAGGCAGGAGGCTCAAGTTCAACCTGGACCACACAATGAGACCCTGTCTCAAAAAGAAAAATAGATAATTTATTTCAAATTTCATATAACTACATGATTTCAACCCTGCTGACAAAAATTATCACTGACTTTCTGAATTCTCACAGCCCTTTTAATTTTCAGTGAGATTACATGTTATGACTTAAGAACTGAGATGCTATCATCATAAAGTATCCAGGTTTGTTTGGTTTTTTTCCCTTGAGATCCTCCCATCTCTTAAAGGAAAAAAAGGAGATTTTCCTGACTCAGCCTCCAGAACATGTGCCAAACAACCTGGTGTCCTGGAGCTATTTTTATTTAATCAGAATTATCCCATTTAAAAAAACCTTAACCAGGTCCTGGTGGCTCACACCTATAATCCTAGCTACACGGAGGCAGAAATCTAGAGGATCAAGGTTCAAAGCAAGCCCAGGCATAGTTCAGAAGACACTATCTTGAAAATACCCAACACAAAAAAGGGCTAGGAGTGGCTCAAGTGGTAAAGCACCTGCCAGGCAATTGTAAGGTCCTCAGCACCGAAAACCAAACAATCTTGGTATCATTCTCATTCTCTAAAAGATAACCAGCTTTAACTCTATTGAAAGTGTACTATCACCAGGTGCCAGTGGTGCATGCCTGTAATCTTAGCTACTCAGGAGGCAGAGATGAGGATCCTGGTTCAAAGCCAGCCTGGGCAAATAGGTCTCTAGGCCCCATCTTGAAAATATGTAACACAGAAAGAGCTGATAGTGTGGCTCCAGGTATACGCCCTGAGTTCAAGCCCCAGGACCAAAAAAAAGAAGAAAGTATACTATCACTTCCAGCAGACCCCCCCCACACACACACAAAATTAACTTGGCTAGAGATTTACCTTATTGGCAGAGCATATAATGACCACTTGTGAGACCCTAAATTCAATTCCCAGCACCAAAAAGAAAAAAATTAATGATGCTATTGTTTGGATAATTTTTTATAACCTTTTAAATACTAATGGTGAACTTGTGAATACAGCTCAGGGAAAGAAGATCCTGCCTCGAATGCATGAGGCCTTAAGTTCAATTTGTAGCAGAGGGAAATAATTAATGGTAAATTTATTTGAAGTTGTTGGCTTAAAGCAACACTTGAATGAGGGATGTTGTTGCTTTAAGCTAAAAATTCACATGATAGATAGAACACTTACTGAACAGGCCATCAGTATTAAATTATAAAGCCATACGGACTGAAAGCAATTTACAAGTTTAGAGGTAAGAGATTCAGTGCTGAAAGAATTTAACACTCAGGAACCATGGCAAAGACCTGTTAATCCTAGCACTGCTGAGAGGGTGGAGCAGAAAGATGATAAGTTCGAGGCCAGGCTGGGTGGGCTACATTGAGACCCTGTCTCAAAGGCAATCTGTTTATATATTCTTTTTGGATATGGGCTGACAATCACAAAACAGATTTTTAAAAACTAGACGATTATTTTCATCTATTCTTGTGCCACAAAATAATTACAACCTTGGTTGAAAGTCCAGGTTCCCCTTCTATAAAAATAAGTTACCTTGATTTCCTATTGTTGTTGACAACTTAAATACGTTAATACATGCACAGCACTGAACACTGCCTGACACACAGTAAGGTACGTAATATCACCTACTGAGGTTGGTTGGGGCATACCCAGAGCTAGCATGAGTTTGATCCCCCGTGGGAGGTAGTATTACCCATGCTCTAATGTAATGCAACAAGATGTCATAAAAAAAAGAAAAGAAAAGAAAGAGGTACTGAACATGATTCAAGTGGTAGAGTGCTTGCCTAGCAAGCACAAAGCCCAAGTTCTAAGAAATAAATAAAATCAGGAAAACAGTCAAAAATAAAAAGAATGGTAGCCAGGCCCCAGTGACTCACACCTGTAATTCTGGTTATTGGGGAGACACAGAACAGAAGGAACCCAGTTCAAAGCCAGTAAAGTAGCTCAAGATCCTATTTCAAAAATACCCCAACAAAAAAAAGGGCTGGTGGCCTGGTTTATGTAGCTGAACACCTGCCTAGCAATTATGAGGCCCTGAGTTCAAACCCCAGTACCACCAAAAAAAAACAATAGTGATGAGCCGGAAGTGTGCTCCTCAGTAACCAAATCCCTATAATTAGTGGATGCCCTACCTCTTAACACAGAAGAAATTGAATGAAAAACATGTTAACAGCACGCACGCATGCGTATACACACACACACACACACACACACACAAACAAACAAACAAACAAACAAACGGGGCTGGTGGAGTGGCTCAAGTAGTACAGTGCCTGCCTAGATAGTGTGAGGCCCTTGACCTGCAAGAAAAAGACAACAGTTAACAATATCGGTGAGGTTTAGAATGTACAGAAATCAGAGACCTCATACACTGCTGGGTGGGATTATAAAATGTCCCGGTTCATTTGTGAAACAATTTGGCAATTCCCAAAAAAACTAATCAATATAAACAAAATTATTATATAGTCCCACACTTCCACTAGTGGGTATAACCCAAGAAAAGAATGTATGTACACATGAAGCCTACACATCAATGCTCACAGCAGCATTATTCATAGCAGCCAATAGGAGAAACAACCCAAACGTTCATCAACTGATGAATAGATAAACAACATGCTATGTTCCCATACAGAAGATTATTTAGTAATAAAAAGAAGCCAGGGGATAGGGATGGAGCTCAGTGGTAGACCACGTGCTTAGAATCTGCAAAGTCCTGTGTTGGGTCCTTAGCACACACACAAAAAAAGTATTGTGCATATGACAATATAGGTAAACCTTGAAAACATTAGCCTAATTGGAAGCAGGCACTCTCCATACATATGAAAAATCCCATAGGCCAACCCACTGTATGGCATGTACTTCAATAAAGATGTAATAAGTAAGGCACCAGTGGCTCTTGTTTGTAATCCTAGGTACTCAACGGGCAGAAATCACAAGGATCATGGTTCAAAGCCAGCCCCAAGCAAATAGTTCGAGATACCCTATCTTGAAAATACCCAATAAAAAAAGGGCTGGCAGAGTGCAAGTGGTAAGGAGCCTACCTAGCAAGCATTGGGGCCCTGAGTTCAAGTCTCAGTACTGAACAACAACAAAAAAAAGTAATGGAAGAAAATGTAAATAACTTTACAGATTAACATGAAGGATTAAGGATAATTTACTTTGAAATTCCCCCTTGGTGAGAGTTAATTGTGGGCTGGAGGAAGGCCCAAGCAATACAGCACCTGCCTAGCAAGCTCGAGGCCCTGAGTTCAAACCTTAGTACCACTCAAAAAGAGAGCAATGATTTTTCAATCAAATGTACAACAAAAGGTTATCTTTTTAAATATAATTTAACTGGGCACCGGTGGCTCACGCCTGTAATCCTAGCTACTGGGGAGACGGATCAGGAGGATCCTGGTTCAACACCAGCCAGGACAAAAAGTTCTTGAGAACCCCCAGCTTCAAAATAACCAGAGCAAAGTGGACTAGGAGTGGCTCAAGTGGTAGAGCGCATACTTTGCAAGTGCAAAGTGTTCAGTTACCCCAGTCCCACCAAAAAAAAAAAAAAAGAGTATTACGTATCATGGAACAGAAAGAAGTTCAGAATTAATTTAATACATATTAACCCTGATTTACAGGTTTGATCTTTGATTTCCATGTGAAACAATACCACAGGAAAGGGACAGTATCTTGTCTGAAATGCTAAGCTGCAGGGAGTACTCAATAATACCAACAGTGAAACTTTCCCTGTTCTCTCCATTTTCCTTACAACTCTGCTAAAAACACTCTTAAATCAAAAGTTAATTTATTGTTTAAGCCATATTAGGTTTGGAGGAAAACTGTTCTGCTGTTGTCAGATTTAGTAATCAAACTCTCAGTGGTAGTGTGCCTGCTTAGCATGCACAAGGCCCTGGGTTCAATCTCCAACACCACAGAAAAAAATAAAGACACTAATGTGCTAATAATAGTCTAAATGTTGAGTAATCATTTGTCAGTTATTACCTAAATGCCCTGTATTTTTTTTTTCCTCAGTACTGGGGCTTGAACTCAGGGCCTACACCTTGAGCCACTGTGCCAGTCCTTTTCTATGTTGCATGTTTTCAAGATAGGGTTTCCTGAAGTATTTGCCCAGGCTGGCTTTGAACAACGATCCCCCTGACCTCTGACTCCTGAGTAGCTAGGATTACAAGTGTGAGCCACAGGTGCCCAGCTCTTTTCTTTTTTTGAGACAGGATCTCACTATGTTATGTTGCCTAGGTTGGTCTGGAATTCCTAGCCTCAAGTGATCCTCCTTGCCTCAGCCTCCTGAGTGCAAGCCACTATGTTCAGCTCAACCAATTTAAAATAGGCCCAGAAGTTCTGAACACTTGCTAGGCAGGTGCTCTAAGGCTTACGTCACACCACCACCACCCCAACCCTTTTCTTGTTTCATTTTTCAGGCAGGGGCTCCTGTTTTGGCCAGTGCCTGTCTCAGACCCCAACCTCTTACCCGTTGGCCTCTCTAGGTAGCTTAGACCAGGCAGATGTCACCTGGCTACACCAGACTTACTGGCTGAACTTTTTTTTTTTTGAGGGAGGGGAGGAGGGGGGTTCCATACTAGCTTTTTGCCAGAGCTGACCTCCAACTGTGAACCTTTCGCCTCCTGAGTAGCTGAGATTACAGGTATGAGTCTCCACACCTGGCAATTTTTTGTATTTTAAAAAAAGTTTCAAAACTTTTTTCTTCTTTTTGTGCTAGGGGTGGAACGCAGAGCTTCAGGCTCTACTGCTGTGCCACACCCCCTGCCCCTCAGTTCTTGGTAGAGTTGTGCTTGTGGACTACAAAGACCCTCTTAACCTGCATGCTTTGGAACATGCTGAACTTGTTTTTTTTTTTAGTATGAAAAATAATTCTATTTTCCACATGTGTTTGCTTTCTTAGGAATATGGTTTCAATTGGTGATAATTCCATCCATCTTTTAAAAGCTGACTTCTGATATTTGTATGTTTTGGGGGCAAAAACAAGTTCTATTCAGAGGCTCAATGTCACAAGTCAAATATTTTGAAGTTTGATGTTTTGTTAAATAGAACTATGCCAAGTTAATCATTGTGTTTTCCTTTTTGTCTAAGCTCTCAATGCCTTTAGGAAACTATAGTGCATCTTGGCTGTTCACTGTCATATAAATGCGTCCAGAAACTTAAAAAGCAGTGGATTTAAGGATAATGGTGTATTGTAAGTTGTTAGATGTATACTTCAGGAAGAACCCTGATAAGATTTCTCCTGGTTATTCCTCCAAGTAATTCTCAGTGCCCTGCATCTGTTACTATTGTACTTCACCTTTCAACCATATAGATTTGTACCCCAATGAAGAAAATGAGCACAAAGAGGTCCAAAGTCACAAAGATGGCAAATAACAGAACCTGGATTTAAATCCTGATCTCTTTTTCAAGCCCTATTTAACTAAATCCAATTAGCAATCAGAGGTGAGAGCTGAATGTATGAACTAAAAAGCTTCTCTTACCTGTATGTGTTCGAACATGTTGGACATAATTGTTTTTTCTGTCAGAAAAATAGTTGCATTTCCCACATGTGTACACTTTCCTTGGAAAATGGTTTCTCAAGTGTTTCCTCCAGTGGTACTCGCTTACTGTTGTGTAAGTGCAAATGATGCACTTGTAGACTCGCTCATTATCTCCAGCTCTGGTGTGGTGTTTCAGGTGTGCAGTGTAGTGATCGTATCGATTGGTATTATAGCCACAGCGGTCGCAACGAATGGGACCCTTTGAGAAATCTCCCTCTTCTGCGGTGGAAGAGCCAGATTCCCTAGCTTTAGCTTGCTTCTCTGCACTTTCTTCCACAAAAAACTTCTTGGCACTGTGAACTCTAATGTGATGCACAAACTGTTCTTCAGATTCTGCTTCATACTGACATGGCTTACAGCGAAAGGGTTTGGTCTTCAAAGTCTTGCATTTGTCCTCTGCTCCAGGTGCTTCAGGAGGAAGATCTTTATTTGCACTGTAAATCTCTGGGGCAGCTGATGCCTCAAATACAGGCTGTTGTGGTTCTACAACACCAAGTTCCAAACTTCTCATTTCCATGTTGTCCAGACCATTAGGTTCTCCTTTTATTTCAGGAGATTCCTCAAGTCCTTCCCCGTCGCTATCTGAAAAGTTGTTATCCCCAACAGGCATCAATTCAGCCATCTGTCTTTCCTCTCCAACCAGGTAATCACAGCAGTTGCCATTTACTTCCCCAGTTAAGGCCACATTTGCTAACATGATAAGCTGAGGTGCAGCCAGTTCAGCTTTGGAGAGGTCGTGCAAGTCATACATGTCATTAGGCAAGGCCATGCCCATATTGCCACCGCTGGTGAACAGACCTCCTCCTCCAGAAGACTGCCCCATCACCTGGGTGGCCATAACTGTATTCTGAATAAAGGGGGGGAAAAAAGAGCACCATTTAAACAGAGCTCTCACTATGGCAAAACCAAAGCATCACTCCAATTCTTCATGACCTACAATTACTTTCCAGTATAGACTTAAAACTCAATGAGGTTCATTAACTAGTAACAACAAACTTTTATTTTTTCCAGGGTATGGCAGGGTGGCATAGGCCTCTAATCCCAGCACAATAGAGGCTGAGCCAGGAACATGGAGATCTAGGCCAGCCTGGGCTACATAGCAGTATCATGTCTCCAAAGCAACCAAAACCAAAAAAGGAACTAGAAATAATTTTCTTGTTAATTCTCAGGTTCTCTTTACTACCGTCACACACCAAAAACAAAAACAACCTCTACTCCTAGAAAAAACTATCAATTATTTGATGCAACTCATTCGTCAACTGGGTCTACCTAAGTCATGGAAGTGTCTCAAGCACTTTTCAGGTGCAAAAAATGGTAACCTTCATTTTTACATTAACTAAAACTATTTTTAATAGCCAATACTCGAGTAAACTGTTGTCACTCCTCCCCTTTCACTCATTTCAACGGTCTGAGTGAGAAAGCCAAGACATCCATGAGCATTCTTAGCCTAATGAGCACACCAAGCAAGTAGTAATTGATCAATGTAGTTGAATTTCTTGAGAACACAACTAACTCCAAAATAATAAACAATTGTAAAAAGTACCACCTCAGCCTGCTAACTCTTTTCATGACTCCTCAAATTTAAAAGGCAAAAAATATATACGAGACCCTTTTTCCTATGAAAACACAAGTTTGGTCTATTCCAAATGTCAGGAAGGAGAGTAAAGAATTTTTTTCAAAAAAAAAAAATAGTAATAATCATCGCACAAGTCAACACGACAACCAGCAACTTTCGTGCCTTGTGCCTGTCTTGACCTACTTGGCTAGTGGAAGCCATTACAAGATCATCCACTTGAAAACAAGCTGGGTTTCTAAATGGTCTTCACCAAGTTACTTTCCAGTCTAAAAAGTGCTACTCTTCAACTCAATTTCCTCTTGCAAATTAGAAAAGACAAACTTTGGGACAAGTATTAAAAAAATTAAAACCGAAAATACAAAAAGCAATTCGCCTCATCCAAGCACATAAACATGCACCAACAAAAGTTGGAATCAAATGCCATCACAGCAAACAGAGCGAACTCTTATCCCCTGGCTTCAGAGCCCAGGGATCCGGCAGTTCACCCCAACATCGACTTTTCTAGCGTCCCCAACCACCCTGACCACCACGGTAGAGGAGCTTTAACGTTTTCCGGAAGGCCGTCCGGGCCAAGCCCGAGAACACAACGTGTTGCTCGGAATTCCTCCGTGCTGCTGCCACCAGCGCCGGCCTCGGCGGCGGCATTCCTAGCTGAAATAGGCATTCGGCCATTTTCTCAAAATACCAAACACAAAGCGGCTCCTTGCAAACTCGGGCGCTCTCGCTTCCTCTCGGCGCGGCCCGCGCCCTGCACACGGTCTCCCACCAACTCGCCGAAGCCGCCCCACCACCCCTCCCGGGCTCCCCAACGCTCCCCAAACGGAGGCGGCAAACGGGGCGCCGCGATCCGGCCGAGACTTCCTGAACCAACAGTCCCCTTTCCACTCGCGGGCCCGAGTCCGGGAAGAGGCGGAAAGTTACCGAATACCGGCGTCCGGGATCTGCCGACCCGCCCGGGCCGGCTCGTCCTCGGCGGAGGCTCCGCGGCGCCCTCCGGAGGCGTCGGGCCCTGCGAGCCCCAGGGGCCCCCACGCGGGCCGCCCCCGCACCCCGGAAGTTTGCGAACTTCACTCCCCCACGGCGCCCGGCGGGACGCGCGCCCCGGCCCTGCCCGCGCGGGCGGCCGCGGCGCAGAAATCGCTGTCCAGCCCGCCGGCGGCTCCGCCTGCGCCCCGGGGCTGACTCAACGCGCCCGGCCGCGCTCAACGGCGCCTTCCGGCGAGGGGAGCGGCTGGGGGAGGGGGCGCGGGGCCCGCGGGGCTGCGGCGGGACCCGGGGGCAGGAGGACAAGAAGGAAGTTTCAGAACTGGGGCCCCGAGCAGCTCCGCTCCTGGCCTCCGGAGAAGGACCGGCCTCGAAGGAGCGTGCGGGCTCGCGCCAAGGCGGCGGCCCGGCCTCATCTGGGGGGGGGGTCCCCGCCGCGCGCCGTTCCCCACCAACGCCCCCGGCCCAGCCCCTGGGCCGCGGCATTGTAACCCGATGCCGCTCGACCGCCCGCCCCCGCCCGGCGCCACCGCCGCCGGAGCCACAGTATCTGCAAATCAGCCCTGGACAGCGCCTCGCTCCGCGTCCTTCCGCGCCCTCCCCCTCCCGCCGCCGCCGCCCGGCCCTCCCCCACCCCGGCGACCCTCCGGACCCGCGCCGCGCCTACCGACCTTCCTCGGCGTGGAGGGGCGGCGAACCGGCCCCGCCGCTCCTTCTCCGACTACTTTTCTTTGTTGCCGGAGTTTCGGGAGAGGGGAGGGAGAGGGTGGAAAAGTTAGGCGCCCGGGCCGTCGAGGCCCGCCAAGGCCCAGGACAGGGGCTGCAGAGCGTGCTCAAGCCGCCGGCCCTCGACCTGCCGTCTTCCCGGCCGCCGCAGCCGCTGGGGTCTGGGGCCCCGGGCCTCGGCGGCGCTTGGTCTGCTGCTGCGCGGCGAGCTCGCCGGAGCCGCACATTCCAGCACAGGACGCTGCGCCGCGCACCCGGCCCGCGCCACCGCCACCGCCGCCGCCGCCGCCACCGCCGCCCGCCCGCGGGACACGCCCCCTCGCGCCCGCGCGCGCCCGCGGACACGCCCCCTCCGTCGCCCGCGCGCGTGGCCGCTAGGCGCGCCCCGCCCCTCGGAGTTTCGGACTTGGGCCTGGCTGGGGGCGCGCCCGAGGGGTGGCGGGGAGGGGGTGAGCCTCCCCTAATCCGCGGGTCCCTCACTCCTGCCCCGAGGTCATTAAAGGGGCGGGGCCCGCTCCCTTTCTCAATTTCTTCTATAAACAAACAACAAAAGTTACCCCCAGCCCTAGCGAGCGTGCATGAGAATGGAGCTGTTCAAAGAAAAATGTGCAGGCATTGACCGTCCTCTTTAGAACTATTGTTCCTGGCCTCTCAAGTCTAAAGCGCTCGAAAATACCCTTCAGGATCTTTTCAAAGCTCCACCCATCGTTAGCCTTCACTCTTCCTTTGAAGAGATGAAGATGAGATGCTTTCCAAGTTTCAAACTATAATTGGGGAAATGAAATCATTTTGTGAGTTGTAAGAAGAAAATATTTCAGGAAGTAGGTTATGGATAAAGACTGAGAAGAGCCAGCATGGTGGTAGAGACGGCTGTAATCCACGCACTCGGGAGGTCGAGGCAGAAGGATCAGAGTTCAGGTTCTAGTCCAGCCTGGGCTACAGGAGGGAGGGGGGGAAAGTTAGGCCTCCCGGGGCCCAGCTTTAACTAAAATCTGCTTTGCTTTTACATGATTTTTTTAGACACTATAGCCTCGGGTATAATTGTGACCCCTACCAAGACTGCCGGAAAGCATCCACTGTTTTCTTTTATGTACAAAAAGCCAGAAATGAAATATTTCTTTTTAAACTTACTAGGTAAATGTCCTCATGTCCTCAATCTGGCTGTTTACTGGAAATGTTTTATTAATTATGAATTTATTCCCACATATTGTGATGCAAATAAAAGAATGGCGAATGGACAGCTGCATTCATTTAAAATTAGCAGAGGCCCGTTGTTCAAGGGATGGCATATTCAGAGTAATCCAAATTATCATGACATGAGCCAAGGTCAAATTCAAGGCCAAATTACAAATCAATAGATTTCCCTGGAGGAAGCTGGTGCTATGAACTTGAATTCCTAATTGTTTTTCAAGAGGCTATACTCTATTTTGCTGCATTCACAATTGAAGATCTGCAAGACTTTGAAATGTGAATGAGTTCTTAGATGAATTCTAGTCTACATATTTAATTCATTGTTTTTTTTAAGTTTCAATTAGCATATGCTCTTCATCATATTTTTCTCTAGAGATTTATTTCAGAAGTTTGGTAAAACACTTTCTGAGCATCCATGTTTATGCTTTAGCTCAATAATATGCTTTAAATGTACGGCTGACTCAAGGTTTGCGTTGATTAAAGACTGGGGTACAACCTGATGTTAGAAGATTTCTGTCTGCCCTCTGCTGTCACGAACCAAAGGGAAGACATTAGGCTGTGAAGGCCTAAAGATAGGGGCCTTTTTCCTTTTCACTGTTTTGTAGCAAGTAGTGCCTGTCACCACTCTACTGCCACAGGACACTGCTCCCCCCAAGCCGAAAAAGACCTCAGTCTGAAATTTTAGCTCTCCACAACAATTTCTACTTCTTTAAAGTTTAGAGTTAACTTAAAACACAATTTAAAACATTGTTTGCCATGGTGGCACACTCCTGCAATCACAGTTCTCAAGAGTCCAAGGCAGCCGGAGGCCTAGCTACTCAGGAGGCAGAGATCAGGAGGATTGCGGTTCGAAGCCAGCCCAGGCAAATAGTTATGTGAGACCCTATCATGAAAAACCCTTCACAAAAATAGGGCTGGTGGAGTGGCTAAGGTGAAGGCCCCTGAGTTCAAGCCCCAATACTGCCAAAAAAAAAAAAAAAAAAAAAAAAGTGCAAGGCAGGAAGACTGGGAGTTCAAGGCCAGTCTGGACTACCTAGTAAGACCCTATTTGAAAAGTTCAAATACATATATGTATTCTTTATAACCTTATTTTGAAATTTTTGGTGGGGGTAGAAAACATAAAACAAAGGAATACACAGTGGTTAAGAAAGCTGAGGTCTGGTTTCTCCTTCTGTTACCAGTTTTTGCCTCCAAACTGGGTCATTTTTCCCCCTCTTAGAATTGTGGAATTGTTTGGAAGAGACTTCAAGCTCGAAGTCAGCTTCTCAACCGTGGGGGTCAGGAGGTTATAGAGTGAAAGAAATGAGAAGGAATAAGCTAATAAAGGAGAGGAAAATTGACGAATTTTCAGGGAATGGACAGAGATTTTCCTGTAATTCAGGCGCACCTATTTTCGTTCCTTTTATGGATCTTTCCAGTCAACTGTCATGACTCTGGGGGAGTGTCCTCTGTTTAGCACGGTCACTGACAGGCATCTTAGATCCTACCGGTTTGGGCTAGCCTACCTGAAGAGGAACCTCCAGCCTACAGGCATCCTGTCCTCAAAGATAAGAATGATTAGGACAGGGTAGAAACTCAGCCAGGCCACCTAGGCCAGACTCTGGGTAACTCTTTCCTCTGTGGCTTTGAGAAATCACTTCTTTTGAGCTTTGTCTGCAAAATGAAGAAGTTGGACTAGTAACAGTGATGGCCAAATCCTCAGCAGTTTAAATATCTAAGGTGTTTTTGTCTAGTTGTTTTGAGACAGGGTCTCCCTATGTAACCCTTGCTGGCCTGCAAATAGATCACTATCCTCCTGCCTTGGCCTTCTGAGTGCTGAGATTACAGTTGTGCACCACCATGCCCAGTTAGAGTGATTTTTTTTTTTTTTCCAGCTCTGGGGTTTTGGACTCAAGGCCCCACACTTGCTAGGCCCCACTCCTCCAGCCATTCTTTGTGATGGGTTTTTTCAAGATAGGGTCTCTCAAATTATTTGCCCCAGCTGGCTTTGAACCACGATCCTCCTAATCTCTGCTTCCTACATAGCTAGGATTATAGGCTTGAACCACCAATACCTAGCTAGAGTGTTTTTTATTCCATGTGAAATTTTTTATCTTGTGTGTGGATTTCCTAGTACAATTATATGTGTTTTTAAGTTTAGTGTACCTGGCCTTCCTGGTTTCCTCCCCTTTGTGGAGACCCACCAGCAGGTCCTGACCCACAGTGTCTGAACCTGATGTGGTGGCACACACCTGTAATTGAAGCCTTGAGCAGTCTGAGGCAGGAGAATCAAGAGTCCAAAGCTAGCCTGGATGACATAGCAAGACAAGAACCTGTCCCCCCACCAAAAAAAAAAAACAAAAAAACAAGTGTGACTGAAGGCCTTTAAGGTCTGCCCTAGTCTTGTTGAATTCAGCATTATCTACCTTTGCTACCAGTTGGACCCTGACCTTTCGTTCTGGTTCTGATAACTGGAACACAGTGTCTTGTCTTATCCCCTGTGGCATCTACCGCTCCAGGCAGGGAGGTGTTCCCTGCATGCTGAGAAGGGAGGAGACCAGCAAGGGAACTTGAGACTGAGCTGGGCTCCTTCCTGCCTGCTTTTGGAGCCCAGCTCACACTCTGAATCTATTGTCCTTGTCTCTTTCATTCAGCCACACTTGCCTCCTGGCACCCTGGCTCTGTTCCACTCACAGCCATTGCTCTGCAGTCTGTTCCTCTTCTACAAGACCATCCTGTCCCCCTCTGTCCCCAATGCTCATTCCTTCTCCTTCAAAAAATGCCATAATGCCATTTTCTTAGTGGTCACATTATTTAAAATTACAACCTTTTTCCCTTAAACCCAATCCAATTGCCTTCTCCTGCTTTTTCGCTTTGTTTTGACCACTAACATGCTAAGTGTTTTGTTTTTATTCTTTGTGGTGCTGGGTGGGACTGGAACACAAGGCTTCACATATGCTAGCCAGGGTTCTACCACTGAGCTTCACCCTCCACCTGAGCCAGGGATTTTATTTATTCCTCTATTGTTTATCTTCCTTCACTGGAATTTAAGCTCCAGCAGAACAGGCAGATTTGCCTTTATTTCTAGTGCCTATAACTTGGTAGTTGCTCAAAAAGTGTTTGTTTAATGAATGGTTATTGGATTCTCACTTGGTGTCCCAGTCTCTCAAAGTGGAGACTTCTCTACGCATGTTAGCACCCCCAGTTCAGTACCCATCACAGTCTTCCTTATGCAAATGCTGGCAGAACTCATTGAACCTCCCTGATAACTATCTGTTGAATGAATAAATAAATCTGGTCCCTGTGCTCCGCTGTCCTGTGGAAAATCTCTCTGCCCACTCTCCTCTGTGTTATATTCCAAGTACATCCCTACTTGTACATGTCAATTTCTGGCTGGCTTTTTCTCAGTGACATTAGCAGTCTGTTTGGGCCTCAGGTGTCCCCCCCACTTGCTGGTCTTTTGTGTTTTGTTTTTTTATTTTTGTAGTCCTGGAATTTGAATCTAGGGTTTACACCTTGAACCACTCCACCAGCCCTTTGTGTGTGTGAAGGGTTTTTTCGAGATAGGGTCTTGCAAACTGTTTGTCTGGGCGGGCTTTGAACCACAATCCTCCTGATCTCTGCCTCCTGAGTAGCTAGGATTACAGGTGTGAGCCAGCTGTGCCCCACCACTTGCTGTTTAAATGCAAGCAGCACAACCCATCATCTGCATTGCCCTACCCCCTGCTCTGCCTTTGCCTTTGTCTTTCCCACAATTCTCCCTCCATATGGTATGTAGACCACAAAATAGCACAACTGAAAAGATCTTAAGGCTCTTAGTTTTGATTTTTTTTTTTTTGGTGGGAGGGGGTAGCTCTTAGTTTTTGATTGGGGCCGGGGAGGGTTGCTTTGTTTTATTTTGTTATGTTTTGGAGGTGGGAGGTGGATACTGGGGATTGAACCCAGGATTAATTGCCTTCAGCCAGGAGTTGGTGGCTCACGACTGTAATCCTAGCTACTCGGGAGGCTGAGATGGGGGGAGGATCTCATAGTTCCCAAGACACCCTCCTCCAAAATGACAGCAAACGATGGACTGGAGGCGGGG